AAAGAGCCGAAAGACGCTAAAACTCCCGACGGAGCTCCGAAAAACTGCAGACGTTGATGATTGTTTGTGGGTTTCCTGTAGTTCCAGGATTATCTCTTTAGCTTTATCGGCACTGTAGAACGGTCTGACTGCACTCTGCTTTGTTTCTATCTCTTTCAACCAATCACAGCTGCGTTGGGCGGAGCTAAGCCCGGGATGCAGTGATGGTGCCCCATCATAATAGCGATGGGGAAACAGTTTTTTTTTTGCAGGCGGGGAGGCAAGAACTGTCATTTAAGTGGATCATTTAGTAAGAGAACCAAACAGAGCTTCATATAAATCCTAATTTTAACAGCTTCAGTGCACCGGTTGCTGTTGGGAGGTTGTCGTTGCCGTTATTTCTGGTTGCAAAAGGGTTTCTGTAAAACGCAGGTAGCGGGAGGGCAAAAGCTTCAGGCCTAAATCGACACTTTACGCTCATTTGGCCCATTGCTGTCATAAATTATCGATTAGAACACAAACTCCTCCTGGTTTTAGCCACGTTCGTTAGCATTTAAGCGAACCGCACGCATTCTTCCAGCACAACAGCGTGTAAAATGTACGTGGTGGTAATTGCAGCCTTATTCTGAGGCTGCTGCAGCCTGAAGCCGTCTGTGCTTTTCCACTTTTCACAGCTCCACACTGATCACGCTGGCGTTACCTCATGTGCTGCCGACTCGGGTTTATGGGAAGTGGTAATTTGGCTAAAACACACGTTCTAGCAGTTTATAGTCGTCGGGGTTTTTCCTGACTCAGAATGTGACTCCTGTACGAGTCCGCGTTACCTCATTTGACAGAAATCTCTGCGTTTTCCTGCTATTTCTGATGAACAAAAATGTCTATTATGCTCGAGCCCAATTAAAAAAAAACAGGTTTATTCTTGGGTCGTGTCATTCTGGCGCTGGATAAAACCTCTTTGGGGAGGCGCCAAGAGTTCCTCCATGCAGGGAAAAAGCCTGGCAGTATTAGCAGCTCTAATGGTTTCTGTCGTCACAGGGAACATGAGGGGAGAGAAGGAGGCTGAACACAGCATGAGGTGATAAAAATAATGCAGGAGCTGCAGTATTTTTGATAAGGAAAGGTAGAATACGGTACAACGCCATAAATGAGGCCACAGAGACGCCTACCAACGAGCTTCTGAAGATGTAAGATAACGTCTGGTGCACGCGAACGCAGGAATCACATCGGTTTAATGTTTGCGTGGAAAGTGCAAGAATGATCGGTTCCACTAAAATCATGATTAACATGGCATTACCTGTTAGCATATAGGAATAATTTGCAGTTTGTTAAAAGTATTTTAAAAAAGCACAAAATTGTTGGGAATTACAAAAAAAGGTGCAAAAAATTGATGGAATCTACAAAAAAAGGTGCAAAAAAATTGATGGAATCTACAAAAAAGGTGCAAAAAATTGTTGGTATTTACAAAAAAGGTGCAAAAAATTTATGGAATCTACAAAAAAGGTGCAA